ATCTCTATCCCTTCATCTTTCTTAAAAATTTATAACATGTATTGCTGGCAAAATAGGTTAAGGGAGTAAGCTAGTACAACAACAACATAGTACGTTAAGTCGACTAGACGGGTGCAAATATAACGAAGCAATTCAGCTGGAAGTGACGATCAAAATTACGGAGCCATGTCAAAAAGTCTACACCTGTGTGGCGGTACCGCAGTATTATAGGTGCTTTTTATGATGGGCTCCGCCGAGCATCGGCTCATGTACGCGCTCTTTCAGTCTAAACTGGTCGCGGGGATATCAGGCGTTAAGTGCTGCGGTGAGTTTGGATTCGTGCTCTCACATAGCTTCGTTAATAAGCCATCGAATAGTTGCTGTAAGAGCCTAGAAACTGAGTACTGTTTTTCGCCCTCTTTCTGGTGACGATGCATCGAAGTAATAGTGCAAAAAGAAGTGGTCCCGGCAATATAACAGCCTATTTTCTTCTCCGGTTATACAAACGCCTCGAATTCGAATACTCGCCTAGAGTCGTTCGTTGGGCTCGTTGAAGACACACGCACTAGCAGGGGAGATATGAGTAAGAGACAGAAACAGCAGTTACATAGCTCACTTCAAATAGATTAGAGGGGCATTGAGAAGGCTGAGTGTTCAGTGGCTCTTTCGTTGGCTGCCGAAGACGACGTGGGGCAGCAGGTCGACGCAGGATGTCGACCTCAGCCGGCAAAAGCGGCACTGTCACCTTGTCAAGAACAGACTCAAAGTATTCCGATCGAAGAAAGCCAGGATGTTCATTCAGCGTCCGCAGATCTATCATCGGCGCTTGACCTGGCTCGATGACCTCATCGTCGGCATACACGTACATTGCTGGCGGCCCCGCACCTGCTTCCGTGAAGCTTTCTTCCATGTCTAAGAACAAAAAAAGACCCCCACCTAGGACTGTGGCTGAGAGCTTTTAGTAAAGAAAAAAAAACGCACAGGAGCCCATTAGTACGTTTTATTGTAATCGGGTAAATCTAGCAGATATAAAATCGGGACGAGGGGAAGAGCATAAAAAAAATAAGGGGGGAGGTGGAATCTTCGACGAGAGTCCGACATCAGTTACTTGGTTGTACTCTCCTTGATGCGCGCCTTCCGTGCGGTTTCTATAGCGACAACAGACTTCCAGTGCTCCTCCGTAGGTTGACTATCACCGCAACTCTGCACGTAAAGCCTACGAGGGAAAGGGGGAGAAGAGTACATGAGGTTGTACTAAA